CGTGGGGGCTGCTCCCGAGGGAGGCAGAGAGGGGGTATATAATAGAAGATCTCGTGAAGCACCGCTTTCTTCGGTGGCTGGAAACGGTTCACTCTGATTTTTTTTTTTTTTTTGAGACAAAAAACTAAAAGACCAGAATGTGTATAAAATGAAAGAAAAACCATTATATACATATTTCAATGCATATTATTTAAATGGTGTTGTATATCCATGCACCTATATAGTTTCTATACTGAAAGGCCCTGTTGTTCTTCCCCTGGAAGATAAAAACGGGAGAAGCCGCATTATTCTGCTTGTACCACTGTCGTGGTTTAACCCCAGCCGGCACCTCGGCCCCCCGCGGCCGCTCGCTCGGCCCCACAGGGGGAAGGGCAGAAGTGCTACCACCACTATCCTCATCCCAAACCCAAACCACAGCACTAGGCCAGCTACCAGGGAGAAAATTCCCTCTACCCCAGCCAGCCATGGAAAGTAGAGAGCAAGCACGCTGCAGCCGCCCAACCAGTCATTTTCCAAACAGAGGAGGCAGCTGAACAGGTACAGCTGCTGTGCGAGCTAAAAAGAATAAAAGTGATACTGACATTTGATTTGTCTTAGTCATGGAAAGGTAAGGGGAGGGAATTTTTTATATTAAAAAAAAAGCTCAGTGCAGGGACATCATAGGAAACGCATACATTGAACAGGTTAGATGTAACTGTTTGATAGTAACGGTTGCCATTGTTTTTATTGCCTAGTATATCACACTGCTTATGAAAGCCTGCAAAGTATTAAGCACATGTAATGAAATGCTGCGGATTAGTTAGTGGCCGAGCCTGTGATTAAGGACGCAGGCTTAACACCAGCCCTTGCCAAGCTGGAGGTGGAGGCGCAGCAGAACGCTTCCCTTTCCCCAGCAAACCAGCCTCTCCCACCATGAGTATCTTTCATCCACATTTTTACCAGTAAATCATCTCAGGTGCTTTGTGCTGCCTGCCAGCACCACAGCACGCGGTTGCCCAGGTAAAGCAGAGGGGATTTCCTCTGGAGGACCCCAGCTCGTACCCAGAGCCGGGGCGAGCGGAGCCGGGGTGAGGTGGAGACGAGGAGCAGGCAGAGCTGTGCTGGATGGGGTGCAACCGCCGGGGAGGACGGCGCTGTTTTGTCAGTACGTCAAGTAAAGATGTTGACCAGCTGAGAGGCTTCGGGGGGGAAAAAAGATCTGAACCATGAAAAAAGCCACGGGGGGGTAGAGCAGGAGAACAAACGTGAAGCTTGAGGAGGAAGAGGTTAAGAGAATCGCTGCAGTTTTAAACATGGGCATTATCAAAATCCAGAGAGTAGGTGCCATGTCCAGATAAATTCAAGCCAGCAGTATGATGCACACTTTTGAGATGAAGGAGAAAGGGGAAAGAAAGACAAAAAAAAAAGGGGGTGGAGGAAATTTCTACCCTAAAGATTGGTGGGTAGCTGTTGAAAAAGTAAGGGATGTATGGAATATTTTGAGTCATTTTTTGACTAGTACGATTCAGGTCAGAACTAGATGACAACTGCTAAAAAACCCCAATGGATAACATCTCTTTTAAGACAAATTTGTCTTTTTATTTAAGTAGACATTTTATACAAAACAAGACTACATCTTTTGTCCTTGCAGTTGGAACAAAAAGTAATCGCCAGTGAGATTTTTAAGGGTAAAAAAGACAACTACCCTCAGAGCGTGCCTAGGCTCTTCATCAACACGCGACTCGGTGAGTAGGTGGTGTGAAGTTTAACAGAAAGAAGAAAGGGATTTAGCTACTCTTGCTAGAAATTCCTCTTTCTGACCTCGCCTCTTTGGTTTTAATACAGGTAATGAAGAGATAAATGCGAAAGTCCTTCAGGCTTTAGAAAGTGAGGCAATTAAGGTGAGATGTGTCTCCTAATACTTCTGTCAAGCTTCTAGACTGATTCAGCAGAATATCAGATTAGATTCCTGAAGAGAATATAGCAAGAATTTTACATTATACTAAGCTTGTAATACCTTAGAAGACAGTCCGGGGGAAGAGCTGATGGCTCGGGAATACAATTTTGAGATGTGGGCAAGTTTATGTCAGTGAAGAATTGAAGGGGTTGCAGCCGGCGTGGCCGGAGAGGAAAGGAGCGAGGAAGAAGCCTACGCAGCCTGAAGCCAAACCGGGATTTTTCGAGCCCGCTGTCAGGCAGCTGCAGTCATCAGGCTCTTGTTCAGAGCTCCTCCAGGTCAACGAGGGAGGCTGGGGCAGGGGGAGAACAGGGGACGCAAGGATTGCCTCCAGTCCCAGTTCACCAGCCACTGGTCAGGACCTCCTGCAGGCTCCCTAGGCTAGAGGGAAGGTAGCTGGCACTTAAACCAGGTGCATTTTTAGCGCTCTTAACACTTATTTCAGTATGCAGTTCCTGTGATAAAGTACGACCGGAAGGGATACAAAGCAAGAGCGCGGCAGCTGCTTCTTACCCAGAGCGCAGTCGTCATCGTGGAGGAATCCAAAATCAAGCAGCGAATCGACTATGCCAATCTGACAGGTGAGAACGGCGACACGGGGTTTGGCTCGCTCGACTGAAGTCGGGCTTCACCTTGGCCACAGTCAACGAAGTAATAACAGAACCAGTTTGTCTTTGTCCTGGACAAGAATGGAATTATCCGATACTGACAAGCATTTTAAGTCCGTAATATCTTGAAAGTGAGTTTTTCTAAAATTAAACTCCATAAAGTGTCACAAAAATTACTCAGTTCACCTCCCCCAAGCCCCCTCCCCAGCCCTTTCCCAGCTGCACATCTCTGCCGCAGGGGAGTTGCGCCATTATCACGCGGCAGCAGCCTGGGACCCGCTCCAGCTTTCGGCCTTCTCAATATTTGACACAGACTTGAGACTGGGTCAGAGAAACCGGCCGAGTCTGGTGCGTTGTGGTCCTTACTGGGCTTTGTCTGAAACCTCGCCCTTCGCAGCCGCGGCTCTGCTATGGCTCCTCTTTCCAGCCAGTTTTGGTGCTCATCACCAGCGTCAGCCTGATGCAGCTCTCGGGCATCCGCCGCATTCGTAGCCGTCTCCCTTTGAAATGGTTTCCAAGGGCAACACTAATTTGGGGCTCCGCGACTCCCATAAGACGCTCTCGCGGCAGAGATGGATGTTTGTCTCTGCTAGGGTTGGGCTAGCTCAATTGAAATAGCTAATCCCGTTTGCATCTAGTGTCAAGATATTAAAGTCCAAAAATAAACTATGAAGACAGACGCTCCTGAAAGCCGGCGCGGTGCTCCTTAGCCCCTGCCCCAGGGAGAGGGTTTTTCCACGTAGCAAGCGCGAGCAGCTCATGGCGGAGGCTCGGCCTCTCGCGTGCTGCGCGGTCAGCGGGCGCCGCCTTCGCTGTCGACGGCTGTTCTCTGTTGCAGGCATCTCCGTCAGCAGCCTGAGCGATAACTTGTTTGTGCTGCACGTGCGCTGCGAGGACAACAAACAGAAGGTAGGGGGCTCAGCCAGTTCTCCAGCCACCTCTAGAAATTTTAAAGGCACAAAGAGAAGATGCAGCTGGGGGAGGGTGCACATGGCGACACGTGTGTAACTCGCGTTGTGCCAGCGCTACGTAGCGTTTCACTTACGTTTACTCGTGCTCACCAGTGACTTGTTCACCGACAGGATTGGTGCTGGCCCTTCCCCGTTGCTGATGCCAGGTCACTGCCAGAGGTGCAGCGTGACCCCCGAGAGGCCCCAGAGGTCTCCGTGCTTGCTCCCCTTGGAGTCGTGCTCTCCCGTGCTAACCTCCGGAGATAGTTCTCTGCCCGTTCATCACAGCGCCATCATTTCAGCGTGCGGCCTCCGCACAGCCGCCACCATAACCCTTGTCTCGTCCCTCCCAGGGCGATGTTGTGCTTCAAAGCGACCACGTGATCGAGACCCTAACGAAAACGGCCATGCAGGCAGACAGAGTCAACAACGTCAACATCAACCAGGGCAGGTGAGCGAAGCCTCGGTTTTCTCGTGTTGGTTCTGGAGGGAGCTCTGCTTCAGCATTGAAGGGCTACAGAAAACCACGCCCAGACAACATCAAAACGCACCCACTGCACCTTAGCCAAGGCTCCCTTCCTTCGACAGCCCCATCTGTTGCAGCCAGGCGTCCGTACGAGCCAGCCGCTGACCGAGGGTAACACGGAGCTAGTGGAGAGGTCACAAAACTCACCAAATCGGTTCTCACCTTTCTCTTTGCAGCATAAAATTCACCGTTGGGCAAGGCAAAGAAGGCATCATCGACTTCGTATCGGGATCGGAGCTGCTCATAGCCAAGGCCAAGAACGGCCATCTAACCGTGGTGAGTGCAGGCCGCGGCAGGGCAGGCTGGCAGCTCGCTTGCCGCGGATCCAAACACAGCTTTTGGCATCGAGCGTTGGCAGCAGACGGACACGCGCCCCGGGCCACCCCTGCCGGACGCGCTGCCTGCTCTGCCCGCCTCCTCCCAGCTGGAGCTGGGCCTTGTTCTCCTGCAGTCTCCAGAGGCCAGGCTCCTCAGACCCAGCGCCTGTCCTATCGATCATCTTGGGGTTTGTTTTTTTTCCTCCCCAAGGTTCAGGCTTCCATGCTCTACTCTGTTGCAAATCAAGTTTTAGAGAAACATTTAAAAATGCAGGAAGCAAAAAACAAACCTCCTCTTCCCTTCTCAGATTGTTTGTAGCCTTCCTGCTGGTCAGGTATCGTCATGCCACCGATTTATGCGCTGTCGGATTAAAGGTTATTGAGAAATAAATGCAGAGCGCCTTCAGGCTGCGCTGCCTCCCCGTCCCGCATCAGAGCCGAGCGCCAGCCCCCGTCCAGAGCAGCCCCCGGCCCCTCGCTCCGCTGCCAGGCATCGCCCCGCTCTCCGGAGCGCCCGGGCTGCAGGGAGAGAGGAGGTTTGCCCCGCGTGCCGCCGCGAGGAGGGGGCTGCTCTACGGGCTGTCGGGAGCAGCCAGGCAAGCGGCTGCTCCGGCGATGAAGCATTTCTGAAGATGTTTAGGCGCTAGAACGGTTGCGGCACCTTTGCTTTCAGCACGCTTTCTAGCTTCTCCTCCTTCTCCCGCAGGTCGCTCCTCGCCTGAACTCTCGATGATGGAACGTGCCAGCGCGAGAGGACCTTTCCCTCCGTCAGGCTGCGCCCTACAGAACCGGCTGGACGCCGTTCCCAGCAACCCCCCGCCTCGCTTCGCTCCTTTTGTTTATTGTTACCAAAGACCTGCACTTTCAGACAACCCACAAAATCCATCTTGCTTTCTTGTCTTAACAGGACGGTTGCAAAAGAAAGGCCGCTTCCTCCCTACCTTAGCCGCAACCGCGTGGGTCCAACGCAGCGCCTGCGAAACCGTGCCGGGCTTCGAGGGAGAGGTAGCGCTGACTCCGTTAGGGAGTTTTTGACCAAAATTTGTGCTTGTCGTCATCAAAAAGCACAATCGGAAAACAAATAATTCTGCTGCTTTGTCAGCCAAATCGATGAAATGCCAAACTTTATATTCAGAAAGAATGTTTTATGAAGAATTTTGCTCCGAGACGTTTTGATGCTTTGTGTTACAATATATTAAAGCCATATTGTGTAAATGAGTGAAACCCTGTAAATACTTCATAGCCGAGTATGAAAGATGCACTACAAGAAACGGAGTTGATGTGGAAACTTCTGTTTTAGATTTGGAATTTGTGTTGTTTTTAGTTTACGCTAAGGTGTTAACCTGAGCAACCCATCACCTAACTTCCTCACTGATCTGGATCCAGAGACGCTTGCCTTTTTTTTGAAGTCGCCTCTCCCACTTCTTGCTCGGTAGCGATATTTTTATACCGTAGGAACTCTTTCATATCCACACAGCCGAACTGCAGAGGCCACCGCTTCTCTCTGCCACCCCAGGCTGGAGATGAGCCCTGCAGTCCTCAGCCGTGGGACATGCGTGTGAGCTTTCCCTCCTCCCCGCACCTCTGTGGGGCCGCCGCTGCCCCTTCCCCCACAGCTCGCCAGGCTGAGAGCAGCACCTTCAGAAAAAGTTGCTTTTCCTCTTGGTTTTAGCAATAACTGGAAGTTTGAGTTCCCACACCAAAGCTCCACAGCGCTTCTATAAACGCCTCTCGGTACTGCCTTAAAGGGGGAGGGGAGGGCGGGCGAGCGCAGCACTGCTGCCCTTCCTGGGCGGCTGCTGACGGCTCCCTCACACGGAAGCCTCGGCCCCGGCGGGCTGCCTCGCTTCATTTCTGACCTAGCGCCAGCAGGTCTCAGACTGCAGCACAGCGGCTAACGCTAAGCGCCTTCATTGAGCAAGGAACCAAACAGCTACAGGGTGGGCAGCGAGCTGTCAACTACCTGCCTGCTGCAAATCCCCGCTCCCCTTTCCAAGTTTAGGCCTCCAACGGTGCATTTTGCACTCCGCTTGCCTTAGAAATCCTTCACGTTCCGCCTCTGTCCTGAGGCAGTACCGACAGCCACAGTAAGCCCCAAATAAAACACAACCAAACACGTTGCCACTCGCCCACCATCGGCTCGGTCTCCTGCTCTTGGTTTCTGGCATTCTGCAGTTATCCGACACCGTCCCAGGCCTGGAATACGCTGTAGTGCATACACACCATACCGCTGTATATGCTAGAGTGTATATACTAGACAGCGCTGTCTACGCTATTCTATAACCTCTTCGAGACTACGCTCAATAAATTTTTAGAAAAAAACCCTTGTCTGTTGTAGAAACCGTTTCATGGCATTTGTTAATTCTTTGGGGGCAGGGTATGATTTTGTCACACGGCCCCGCTGAAGCCCCGGTTCTTGGGCCCCCCCTGCCTACACCGGGGGCAGCCCTCCAGCGTCTGTTACACAGAGCAGGCTACGCCCAGCAAGTTCAGGGCGGACAGGAAGAAGCCACATCTCCCTTCTCTCCGTCCACGAAGGCGGACCAGCTGAGGAGCGCAGTCAGGGCAAGCGAGAGGAGTGCACCAGCCAGGCCAGGGCTTTTTGTGCAGTCAGGCAGGGAAGAGCCACCGCCGCCTGCGGCGCAGCGGGAGGCCTGCCTCGAGGCCGTACTACTTAGGCGCATGACTGGGACCTTACTTTATCTCGTGTCTGAAGAACAACGCTGTTACTTCTCTCTCTCTCCCCCTCCAACTGTCCCTACTACAAGCAACAAAGGAAAGTTACTCTTGCTGAAATAACTAAAATATAAAAGAAAGTCATAGTAATATTTGGCATTTTTAATTTAGGTCTGTTTTATTTAAGTTTAATTGTTAATTCCATGCTGTGTTTCAGTAAGAACAATACAGATTCTGTATCTGTGGCTCCAGTCAGATATCCAGTAGTACAAATTAGCTTCAAGTTACACATACTGAACAAAAGAGGTTGAGCGAGCGAAGGGAGATGGGGAAAGGGGAGGGAGAAAGAAAAAATATTGAACACGCATGCAGGCTTATCAATGCCACCTTCAATGCTAACCTGCTTTGAGGAAAAGTAAAGAACAGGCAAGAATGAGCAGCCACGGATTGTTGAACTGTTACCAGCACCATGATTTTCAGCAACATTTCAGCAGTCTGGAAACTTTTGTGTTCGTACAGTAAAACCACTACAATATATGTCCCAATGCAACCTGTAACTTCAAGCTAAACACCCAATTAAGTTTCAACATTGGTATAAAATTCAGTTTAAACAGTTATAAAAAAAAGAAAAATGCCACCACATGCGCACTACCTCACCATAACGAATCTCTCCCCTACAAGTCTAACGGTCTTCAGGTGAAACATCTGCTTCTAGTGGCAATCTCGCCACATCTGGCAGGAGACAATACAGTAATGCTGAAAGAGCCTTTACGCAGTCCTGTTAGTGTCTTAAAGAACCTAAAAGCTGGCACCAGTAAAATCCACAGAAATTCACTCTTGCCTTTAAGAACTTTTAAACTGTGTAAAAAAAATAAAGAAGCCCAACAGGGCAGGAACCTAAATTCTGAGACCCAATGTAAAAGTCAGATTTGGTGGTTCTCAGAGTGACACTGAGGGTTTTTGTGGGGAAGGGGAAGGGTGGTCAGAGATGGGTTCTCTTGTTGGCCTTTGTGTCTCACTGGTTTTCATCTTCCACATCCTGCAGCGCTTCTTTATTCTGTTCTTCACCTATGAAAGTGTTTAAAAGTAAGGAAGACGTTAACTTTGAAAATCGAGACCTGCGGAACGGCTTAATAAGCATCTAGAGATTAATAGTTCCATGCAAGCACACACGCTCACTCCCACGCTTGCACGAATGACACGCGCGCGCGCTCCACAGCCAGCTCCGGAGTGAAGCATTCCCATGGAAATGAAGCCTTATAATCCCCTTGTCACGCCTCACACAGAACCGCAGCGCAGGCTATTAGAAGACGTACTCTGTCCTAAGGACAAACACCACACCGCCCTGAAGACTGCAACGGCACCTGACCAGTCCTGTCGATCAAGAGGTGAACAGCCACGACTAAAGTCGTCAGAATGGCTGCAGATCAGCGTCCCCACATCAGAACGTACCTTCCCCAAAACCTCATCGCTACCCGCGGAGCGCTAAGGACATCTATGCTCTAGCTACAGAAGTGAGACCAAACCAGTTTTTAGAAATTCAACTTTTTTCTGCCCAAGTCCACTCAAGTCTCAACAACAGCAAAGTACTGCAGCCCGTTTTATAGAATGACACTGATGGCATGTATTACTAAAGGTACCAAAAGAAGTATGAACACACATCCCTACTTCAAACCCAACATGACAAGAAAGCCTAGGCTTGAGGGTGTTAAAGGAAAACTTTTTGTGGAAATTAATTTCTCTTGAAAAACGGCCAGTTTGGACCTACTCAACCGGGCTGCGACATGCAGGGAAATGGAGTCTGGCCCCAGAGACTCTCGCAGAAGTGGTTCTACATCGGTTGCCCCAGGTGAGATGCATGCAATGCCTTCTGCACGCCTCGGCCCCATCTCTACTGCACCAGGAAAGGGTTCATCGTACTCCAGCTAGTGCCATAACACATGCACAATTAAGTTAATTGATAAGAGAAACAACAAAAGAAAATGTTTTCTTTACAATTATCCTTAACCATGCGAGATGGTACTCTCTTAAGGGCAATAAACAAAAACTACCTAGTCAAAAAAATTAATTTGCAATAAAATCCGATCGAATGAGACTAATGACTTTCAGCATATCATCAGAATGCCTGCTCAGAGCATGTCCAGATTCAGGATTATCACCAGGTGCAATACAGGCAGATTTTGGAAGAGGTGGCCTAGGCACACAAGACACCTGACGTTCAACAACAATAAAATTTACATTTAAAATTACGTAACATCATTTAGGGGAGGAAAGCAGAGGCCCTAACCCACAAAGATGATGATTAAAAGAAGATCTGAGCATGCTCTAGCCAACACACATAAGCAAATACTCCTGTAACAGGCGGCTGTGAAACTACTTTTCATGCCCAAATATTCTTAATATCCATCCAGGTACGCAGCTCAATTCCCAAACATGTAAGTTACTTTGGATCTTAGTCAAGCGTATCGGACCTGGGCAGGGGTAACAGGTCACAAATTGGTAGGACGTTGCTTAGCCCTGGAATGGAGTCAAAGATACAAGCCATTTATCAGCAGCAAGGGAGTGACAGAGGCAAGCACGATTAGTGATCAGAAGAAAACTGGCGCTGAAAAGTTCATTAAGCCATGACGAAGACTTACAAGGTAGAGTTTTTAGGAAATGAACAGTTGGACTTTCCTTTAGGAATCTATACAGCAGGAAAGAAGGGGAAAACAGGAATCATATGAAGACGACATTACAAGTGTGAAAATAAACTAAACAGCTCGTCTATGACATGGTTAAAAGATACAGTAAATGAGGTGGGCAAGTGCAGCAGCCGAGTAACACCCGATTTTAGGAGGTCATTCCCTACAACCTACACACTGACACCAAAACAGGCAAAAGAACAAGCCTTTTTCACATCTCCCCCGCCCCTTAGGAAACTGGTAATTGCAATGATCCTTCTCAGTGCCACTATTAACTTTTAGCAATCTTCAAAGGCTCTACGCATTTTGGAAATACGGAGTTCTGGAAGCAACAGTTTTAAATGCACTCAGTCAGCGTACGAGCATGGTACGA